CTCACTCCCTCCCTCCCTCATTTCTCACTCCCTCCCTCACTCCCTCACTCCCTCTCTCACTCCCTCCCTCCCTCACTCCCTCCCTCACTCCCTTACTCCCTCACCCCCTCAGCTCTTCTGACACGCTTGTCGGAATGAGAAGGACGGTGGGAGCTTGCTGAGAGGAGCCGCCCGGAGGAGCCCCTCGGGGCGGCTGCGGCTACCACACGGGACCACGCGGAGCAGCAGGCGGGAGGGAACCGGAGAGAGAGAACTCTCCTTTTCGTTGGGTTTTCTTTAGCCGAGGTGGGAGGGGTGGTAGCGCAGCAAGAGCCCCTCCTGGGGCTGTGCGTGCCACGCCGCCCCCGCGCCGCCCCCGTGCCGTCCCCGTGCCGCCCCCCCACGAGGCCCCACCGCCCCTGCTCCTCGTGGCTCAGCTAAGCCCCTGGTCTCTACCAAGCGCCGCCGCCAGCCACCCCCTCTATGTACCCCCACCCCCTCGTCCCAACCCCCCGACCTTTAGGAAGTCTGCGCCGAGAAAACTTGAGTAATCCCGGATTCCACCCGGCGAAAGCACACGACCACGAACGGCACGAACCCCCGGCAGGTCGGCGACGTACGTACAGTACGTACTCGAGCAGCTCGTTTGTTGAATGTACGCTGGTTTAAAAAGTAGGCCATCTATGTACCATGTTTCAGGCCTGCGACACAGCAGAGTTGCGGGTTTGCCTACGCAGGGGGCCATAGGGTGCCTTTCGGCTTCGGCCTTACGGATGTATGCAAACCCGCATAGGTAGACAGTACTGTACATATCTTTTTATTCGTACAATGCACGGTTTTGAATTGTTGTACCTCTCTGGTGGGTGGTCCGTGACGGACACGTGTCCCCGCCGGGTGGGTTCTGTCTCACCTGGGACTCGCAGCCCACCCCGCCTCAGCCTGGCGAAAGGGCGTGTAGGCAGAATCCATCATACCGAATAGAAGCGGAGAGCCTTCTAACGAGGGGGCGGCGCGGCGGGGGCGGCGGGGGCGGCGCAAACAAAAGCATCGCAAACTCGATATCGCTGCCGCCGCCAATAGCCACCCCGCCCAGTTTGTCCCCCGCAGTGCTTGACGCACGTACTTGCTTTGCTCCAGCTCCACTCGCTCCGCTCCGGCGGCAGGGTCGTTGATCTGGCGGTCTGGGGTCTGGATCACACCTGCGCTGGCTGCGCTGCCGGAGCCGGAGGCTGCCGAGGCCCCCTTCCTCCCGCTTCCTCTCTTGACCCCCGAGGCGGCGTGCCGCGGACAGGCTGGGACAGGCCACTCACCCGACTTTGCCCTCGCCCCTCTCTCTTTGCGTTTATTCTCTATGCTACAGCAGCAGCATGCTGGGGCTGCGTCGGGCCCAGGGTAGATTGTAAATGTATCCGTCTTCATTGTCCACCCGCCGCCGCCCCGCGCGTCTCCAAAATGTGAACGATTTGCAAACGCGTTGAACTGCAGCGGTTTAAAAACCATTATAATGGTGGCCAAGTTATTTTCCCGGAAATTAGAAGTAGCAAATTTGTCAGTACTCCTGCTCCGTAGAAAAACTTGAGTGTTTTACCAAGATATAAAACAGGACAGGTTTGAGAATGCCTTTATGATCATGCTGGTTCTTAGTTTTCCATATCCCACTCTGTTTGGTTGTTGGTTTGCGACATATTTGTCCCACTGTTCAACAGTGAGACTATGTACCTATGCCCCTAATTTTTCAAGTGGTTCAGCACGCGCACCCAAGAGAAACTTGGCCGTTCTCATATAACGTCAGCCCGAATGGGAAATCACTCCAGATAAAAGTATACAAGTTAATACGTTAGTACACGTTAGTACACCCAAATTTTGGCGGCATTTTTTATCATTTATGCGAAACTACGTTATTACGGCACTATTACGCTTGATTTCTGCTATTAGTGCGCGTTATTACGCTGTTTGTACGAGTTAGTACGTATTTAGTACAGTCCGGGTGTACGCGTGTAGACTGGTCCCCAGCGGGACCCGGGACCGTACTCCGGTCCAGGTAGGCGGCGGGCCTAAAGGCGGGCCTACAGGCGGGCCTACAGGCGGGCCGGCCCGATGACATCAGCCCCGCACCGCTACGCGGCCAGCGCGGCCAGCACCAGCGCGGCGGCCTCTGACTCACGCCGGCGCCACGGCCTTTGCAACTCCAAAAAGGGACTGAGTGAGACGCACCAAATCCTTCTGTGTAATGTGTATACGTCCTGGTTGTTGGAATTTTCGACTGGCAAAGGATTATAGGACAAGAGTCGAGACAAAATTTATACCGCCGGTATCCCGGAGCCCGCGGAGAATACGCGACAACTCGATGGGTTGTCTACGCAGCGGCATGCAGGCGCGGAAGGCGAAGGGGGAGCGGTGAGGGTGGCGGGAGGCAACCTGCACGCCCATACCGAACTGCCGCGTATTGACGCGCAGGATCAGTTAACTATCGACTTTTTAAAAGTGGGCTTTCGGATGTACTTCTACACTTGCTCTCTGGGCCATCAAGATGTGCGTGCAAATCTTGCCCTCATTCAATTTTATCTCCTTTTCTTTCCGCGCTGAGGCTCAGGGACGCAGAAAGATTCGGCAGGGCGACACGACGGCAGCGGAGATTGGCAAAAAATCCTGTAGGCACCAAAGTTCAGAAAAGTTGTCATTACCTTATTAAGGTTTTTAAGCGGCATAAGAATACTGACAAAGGGTAAAAAAATCGGTTAGAGGATGAGAGTGACGCCCGTGACGCCAGTGAAAAAAGTTGCATCCTCGCAATAGGCAAATATTCGTTTTGTCCATGAGAAAAATAGAAACTCGTCATTTTAAGCATACAATTGCGATATTGCATTTCGTCAAGTTGTGCACAAAAATTCAGCTTAATGAAGACATTATTAGTTCTTTAAGAAAAATCTCTTACGATTTATAGTGTATTTTTGTTAGTAAACACAACGGTTTTGTTGATAGCAAAAAAAAATAATTATTGATACCAATTAACATTTAGTGTTGTCACCATACTAACCAGTGCTCAACATTGCATACAGCAAGAAACGAAAACCTCGATAAGGAATTGTTTTAGGGGTGGTGCGGATGTTGCGCGAGGGGCCCCGCTTTGGTGCGTAAGGTTGTGACAATAACTGCCGCCAGCGCCTGACACGAGGCTCCGTGATGCTTTTATAAGTGAGGGGCCCTATATTATGGGCCCACTGCTTTACCCCTTCTTTTTTGTGCGTTGTGCTGAAATCATCTGATATGGCGGTGGCACTACTCACAGTGTCTGTGTCTCTGCACTTTAAAACGCTTGAGTCATACTTCTCGCCCGAACTCAGCGACGAATTTTCTGCACCGCCCAAATGAGTCGTTCAAATTAAAATTTCAGCCAAGATTACACCGAGGATCACACTGGAAAAAGGTAGGACTCGTAGGGCTTTACTGCCTTTACAAAGGCATTAAAAATTAACACGCCTGCAAAGGAATTAAAATTGCCCAAAGGTGTTAAAATTTAATGCCTTAAGACACTTTCGTAAAGTCTTTTTTCCAGTGCACTCTTGAATCGTGTTGATGCCCTTGGTACTCTTACAATTTGCCCAGTTTCAGTAACAACATTGCATCTGGTCTGGATGTGCACAAAAACGTTGCCCTTTTGGGAACAAAATTGTCCCTCTACATGAGTGTATGGCCCCGTGTGAAAATGCAACCTGACCGCTCCGGGCGCTCTGTGCGTACCGTCTGAATTCTTGCACTGTATAAGGACGGCGCAGATCACCGACCCTGTGCTGTTCAGTCACTCACGCCGCGCACGCTCAGGTCGCAGAGTTCTACCCTAGAACAGGTCTGGTGCGGGCGTAGCCGGGCTGCGCCGGCCGGCTGTCGGGAATGGGGCCGGCTCGGCCACGGTTGGACGACGCGCTCAGAAATGCGAAGCAAAATAGGGAGAAAAAACTAGACCGACTCGACCTGCGCTTCTTTGTGTAGACGGGCTTGCTAATGTGACA